GTGTTTGTTTTGCTCCGTTAGAATTGCAATACAATGGTTTCTGATGACACGATAAATAAATAAATATTTACTATTATTGTATATATCATATACACACACCATATATATACCATATACACACCATATATATACTATAATATATATACACTATAGTAAATATATACGATATATACATGTGTGTATATATATACACACACACACCATATATATCATATATACACCAACTATACACCATATACACTCAACATATATATACACCATATAGATCTATTTACTATTTTATATATATACATAATATATATACACATATATTTACTATTATTGTACATATCATATACACACACCATATATATACCATATATACACACTATATATATACTATAATATATATACACTATAGTAAATATATACGAGATATACATGTGTGTATATATATACACACACACCATATATGTCATATATACACAAACTATACACCATATACGCACAACATATATATACACCATATAGATCTATTTACTATTTTATATATATACATAATATATATACACATATATTTATATATATTATATATATATACACACCATATATATATTATATATATATATACAATAGTAAATATATACGATAAATACATGTACACTACATATATAGATCGAGATATATGTTTATTCGAACTATGTATCTATTTCAATAGTAGACCTTAAAAATATTATTCGTAAACAAAGATACATTCTCTTGATAGATTTTCAACAGAGGCTGGATGGCCATCTGTCGGGAGTGTTTTGAATGCGATTTTTCTGCTTCTTGGCAGAATGGGCTGGATGTCCCACAAGGTCTCTTCCAACTCGTAGGATTCTATTATTCTCCTTGGGGTGCATCTACATTGTAGCACTAATGCAGTTTGAAGCCACTTCCAGTGCCTTGGCTCAATGTTATGGAATCATGGGGGAGTGAAAGGGTTTTGCGAGGTCAAAAGGAAGGCGAAAGGGAACGTGCAATGTCTTCCCAGGATCCCAGAGCAGTGAACGCCTTTAAAGAAGTTTCCTGGCGTGGGGCAACTTCAGCCTTGTTGACATCCTTTAGCTCCCTCCCTGCCTATCTTCCGCCGTGGCGCAGCGCCTCCTAGCGACGGCGGCGGGGAGAGGCGGGTTTTGTGCGCTGCAGTGCTTGTGGCGGCCGGGAGGAGTCGCTGCGGCGCGGAGGGAGAATGGCTTGAGGTGAATGGGAGAGGGAAAAAGGAAGCCCAAGAAGGGCAACGGCAAAAGGTTTGAGGGCGGGGCGTTCCACAGCCGAGGGGCCACCACGGAGAAGGCCCTGTCTCTCGTCCCCGCCAGCCGTGCTTGTGAGGCTGGCGGGATTGAGAGCAGGGCCTCCCCGGACGATCTTAATGTCCTAACTGGTTCATAGACCATATAGATCTATTATTGTTGTTCATTCGTTCAGTCGTCTCCGACTCTTCGTGACCTCATGGACCAGTCCACGCCAGAGCTCCCTGTCGGCCGTCACCACCCCCAGCTCCTTCAAGGTCAGTCCAGTCACTAGATCTATTATACATTATATATATATATATATATATATATATATATATATATATATATACACATATATATTTATTTATTTATTTATTTATTTACTTTGCTTATATACCGCTGTATCTCAAGCCCGAAGGCGACTCACGGCGGTTCACAAACAGTAAAAACAGTAGAAACAGCAGTGGTTCCATACAACATATAACAATTGACTTAACACATTATCCATAAATTACCAATAAGCAGTTACAATGCACAATTATTACAAAAAACAACCGTACCCAATCTTCTCATCATCCAAGCGTAGTCCAGATTCGTCGTCCATTGTTCCATTCCTATATTCCATTACCAGATTGTACTAAATTACTCAAACGCCTGCACAAACATCCAGGTCTTCACCTTTTTGCGGAATACCATTAGAGATGGTGCTAGTCTAATGTCCGTAGGAAGGGCGTTCCACAGCCGAGGAGCCACCACCGAGAAGGCCCTATCTCTCGTCCCCGCCAGCCGAGAAGCAGGCGGGATTGAGAGCAGGGTCTCCCCGGAAGATCTCAAACTGGTGGGTTCATAGGCAGAGATGCGGTCAGATAGGTAGCTTGGGCCGGAACCGTTTAGGGCTTTAAAGGCCAACGCCAGCACTTTGAATTCAGCCCGGTAGCAGATCGGTAGCCAGTGGAGTTGGCGCAACAGGGGGTTGTATGCTCCCTGCGCTCCGCTCCTGTTAAAATCATGGCTGCCGAGCGTTGGACTAGTTGGAGCTTCCGAGCTGTCTTCAAAGGCAACCCCACGTAGAGAGCGTTGCAGTAGTCTAAACGGGATGTAACCAGAGCGTGGACTACCGTGGCCAAGTCAGACTATTTACTATTATTTTATATATCATATATACACACCATATATATATATACATCATATTTTTCCTGCTTCTTGGCAGAATGGGCAGGATGGTCCACAAGGTCTCTTCCAACTCTTAGGATTCTATTATTCTCCTTGGGGTGCATCTACACTGTAGCACTAATGCAGTTTGAAGCCACTTCCAGTGCCTTGGCTCAATGTTATGGAATCATGGGGGGAGTGAAAGGGTGTCCCCCAGGGTCCTACATGAAGCATGGCAAGCAAAGCAGAGTGGGGCCTAAGCCTTGCTGTGTGGATGCACCTTTAAAGAAGTTTCCTGGCCTGGGGCAACTTTGGCTTTGTTGACATCCTCTAGCTCCCTCCCTGCCTATCTGCCGCCGTGGCACAGCGCCTCCTAGCGACGGCGGCGGGGAAAGGCGGGTTTTGTGCGCTGCAGTGCTTGTGGCGGCCGGGAGGAGTCGCTGCGGAGTGTTTACATTTAGCTCTCTCCTTCCCTATCTGCCGCCGTGACGCAGCGCCTCCTAGCGCCGGCGGCGGGGAGAGGCGGGTTTTGTGCGCTGCAGTGCTTGTGGCGGCCGGGAGGAGTCGCTGCGGGGCGGAGGGAGAATGGCTTGAGGTGAATGGGAGAGCGAGATGGGAAAAGGGAATGGCACTTCCACGAGGGGCAAAAGGTTTGAGGGCGGGTCTGGCTGTCTTGCCCAGGCTGCGCCGTGGCGGCTATTCACGGGCGCGGTCCCGCTACTGGTCGGCGCGGGAGTTTTGACCTGCTCCGTCTCCGGCCTGGGCCGGTTCACCCCTCCTGAGGCAACCTGGCGGCCCCCGGCTCCCCGCGGGCCCCCATATTGACGCCGGACTTAGCGCGGACACCCGATCGGCATAGCCCGCCAAGGCCCAGAACTCCTGAGCTCACGCCATCCGCCGCCCTCAGCCTCCGCGCAGCTGGATTACAGGCGCGCGCCACCGCGCCCGGCTGGAGAAGGAGAGGCGGAAAGAGGTACTTCAGCTGAGAGGAGGCGTGACGTCACCGCCAAGGGGGAGGGGACAAGAGAGGAAACCACGCCCACCGCGCTCTCCTGAAAGGGAATGGACAAAAAGGGTACTGCAGGCAGAGGGGGGGAGTGACGTCACGTGGGGGGGGGACAGGGGAGGAAGACACGCCCACCGCGCTCTCCTGAAAGGGAATGGACAAAAAGAGTACTGCAGGCAGAGGAGAGGGGTGACGTCACCTAATGGGCGGGGAAATGAGTGGAAGACACGCCCACCGCGCCAGGATGAAAGGGAATGGACAAAAAGAGTACTGCAGGCAGAGGGGAAGAGTGACGTCACATAATGGGCGGGGACATGAGTGGAAGACACGCCCACCGCGCTCTCCTGAAAGGGAATGGACAAAAAGAGTACTGCAGGCAGAGGGGAAGAGTGACGTCACATAATGGGCGGGGACATGAGTGGAAGACACGCCCACCGCGCTCTCCTGAAAGGGAATGGACAAAAAGAGTACTGCAGGCAGAGGAGATGAGTGACGTCACCTAATGGGCGGAGACATGAGAGGAAGACACGCCCACCGCGCCAGGATGAAGAGGAATGGACAAAAATGGTACTGCAGGCTGAGAAGAGTGACGTCACTATTTGGGCGGGGAAATAAGTTGAAGTCACGCCCCCAAATAGGAGGGGACATGAGAGCCGCGGGAGACACGCCCACCGCTCCCGTGTGTAAGAGAATCGACAGAAAGAGTACTGCAGACAGGAGGAAGGGGCTGACGTCATTGTATGGGAGGGGACATTCGCGGTAGCCACGCCCACTTTCCCCCCTCACTCTCTCTCTCTCTCTCTCTCTCTCTCTCTCTCTGTCTCTTTTTGGAGCCTGCGCAGTGGAGCAGGAGAAGCGCCCGGCTGAAGGAGGATGGCCAGAAGGAGTAGGGTACTGCAGGCACAGGGGAGGAGTGACGTCACTATCTAGGCGGGGAAATGACAGGGAGCCACGCCCCCACTGCGCCTCTTCCTCCAGCAAGGGTACTTCAGCAAGGGTGACGTCAACGCCAGAGGAGGAGTTAGCCGCGGGAGACACGCCCACCGCGCCCGAATGAAAGGGAATGGACGGCAAGGGTACTGCAGGCAAAAGCACCGGTGACGTCACTACGAGGGGAGGGTACAGCAGAGTAGGCCACGCCTACTGCGCTCGGCTGAAGGTACTGCAGCCTAGGGTGACGTCACTGGATGGGCGGGGACATGAGAGGGAGCCACGCCCCTGGATGGGTGGGGACAGGAGAGCGAGTCACGCCCACCGAGTGAAAAGGGAATGGATAGAAAGGGTGCTGCAGGCAGGGGGAGAGGTGACGTCACTGGGTGGGCGGGATCAGCAAAGGGAACCACGCCTCCTTTCTCTCGCTCTGGTGAAAAGAAAAGGTACTGCAGGCAGGGAGAGAAGTGACGTGACGTCACTAGGTGGGAGGGGAAAGCCGCGGGAGCCACGCCCACTTTATCTCCCTCCTTCGGAGCCTGCGCAGTGGGGACCTATTGCCAGAGCGGCGCCCGGCTGTCCGCTGGAGGCAGCAGAGGGCCTTTCCCCGCGGGCGCAGTGCATGCCGGGAGGAGGGGGCTGGGCCTGACTGGGTCCTTCTGCGCCTGCGCAGTTCTTTCCGGCCTTTCTCTCCCTCGAAGCCTGAGCCTCGCCGCCCTCTCTCCCTCGCTCTCCTCCCGCCATGGGCCACCAGCAGCTCTACTGGAGCCACCCGAGGAAGTTCGGGCAAGGGTCGCGCTCCTGGTGGGTCTCGCCACGGGGGGAAGAGGGGGGAGCTGCCTGGGTGCACGTGGGAATGGACGGGCGGGCTGACGCGTGTCTTCTTCCTCCCTTAGCCGCGTGTGCTCGAACCGCCACGGCCTGATCCGCAAGTACGGGCTCAACATGTGCCGGCAGTGCTTCCGCCAGTACGCCAAGGACATCGGCTTCGTCAAGGTAGGAAGATATCATTATTATTATTATTATTATGTTTATGTTTACTTAATTATTATATTATTTATTGCTCTTATATTTAATATATAAGTATGTTTATTTTCAATATTATTTATTTACGACATTTCTATGCCGCCCTTCTCACCCTGAAGAGCGGCTTACAAGATATATATACATATAATATATTATATTAGTAGCATAGTACAATATCAGTATTATATATTACTGTACAACACCATTATATTGCAATATTATTAGTAACATTCCATGTAATATATAAAATATAATATTTTATTATTAGTAGTATTATATGGTATTACATTATAATATTATACATATATGTACCGTATATTCCGGCATATAAGACGACTGGGCGTATAAGACGACCCCCAACTTTTCCAGTTAAAATATAGAGTTTGGCATATACTCGCCGTATAAGACCACCCCCCTTCCAATGCACACTAAATAAAAATTTTAAAAAATCAGATTTGAATTCAATATGGTAATTTTAATTCAAATGCTTATGAGAAGCAGGTTCCTATGAGAGGGACATTGTACCTTACATTGTACAGGGTTAGTCAAAATGAATAGGCCAATAATGAATAATGAATATTGGCCTATTCATTTTGACTAACCCTGTACATTACAGTTGCTCTTTCTCCTTGAATTTCATTTACACACTGGGTCCTTTACATCATGCTGGCAATAAGTTAAAATAAACAGTTGCAATAAATAATACTCATTTAAAGCAATTAAAAAACTAGCCGAGGTAAAGTGCCATTATCAGTTCCCTTTTGCCTTCTCTCAGGCTTCTCCTATTGACGCAGCCTAAAATGGCATTGGCCTTTTCAGCTGCAGCATCACACTATTGGCTTGTGGTCGACGAAGATCTCTTTCACAGAATCCTAAAGTTGGGAGGGACCTCTAAAGGCCATTTAGTCCAACCCCCTTCATTTTGCCATCATGTAGGGAAAGCACAATCAAAGCACCCCTGACAGATGGCCATCCAGCCTTAATATTAACAATAATAATAATAATAAAGTTGAGGGAGCTCTAAAGGCCATCTAGTCCAACCCCCTTCATTCTGCCTTCATGTAGGGAAAGCACAATCAAAGCACCCCTGACAGATGGCCATCCAGCCTTAATATTAACATGAATAACAATGATGATAATAATAATAATAATAATAATAATAGAGTTGGAAGGGAGCTCTAAAGGCCATCTAGTCCAGCACCCTTCATTCTGCCTTAATACAGGGAAAGTACAATCAAAACACCCCTGACAGATGACCACCCAGCCTCAGTAACAACAACATCAATAATAATAATAACATTAATACTAATAAATAGTTGGAAGATATCCCTTAGGCCATTTAGTCCAACCACCTTTTGCTTTCATGCATCAAATCCACAATCAAAGCGCCCCTGACAGATGGCCACCCAGCCTCAACAACAACAACAACAACATTGATACTAATAAAGAGTTGGAAGAGACCCCAAGGGCCATGTAGTCCAACCCCCTTCTGCCTTAATGCAGCAGAAGCACAATCAAAGCAACCCTGACAGACAGCCAACCTTTCTCAATAATTTATTTATTTATTTATTTCCTGCATTTGTTGACCGCCGCTCTCAGCCCTGGGGCGACTCGCGGCGGTGTACAACATATAAAAACAGTTTACAAAAGCACATAATACATCAACATAACCATAATTACACATTAATCTAAATCACACTAACAAATCCGCACCGTCACAACATAGAATCATAGCCAATCTCATAATCCATATTCCGTTCCAGTTGTCATTACCAATTCGTGTAGCTCTCAGTTAAATGCCTTCTCGAATAGCCAGGTCTTTAGGCTCTTGCGGAAAGCCATAAGGGAGGGCGCCTGTCTGATGTCAACAGGGAGGGCGTTCCACAACCGGGGGGCCACCACCGAGAAGGCCCTGTCTCTCGTCCCCGCCAGACGTGCCTGTGAGGCCGGCGGGATCGAGAGAAGGGCCCCCCCAGACGATCTCAAGGCCCTCGTGGGCTCATAGGCCAAGATGCGGTCAGAAAGGTATTTTGGGCCGGAACCGTTTAGGGCTTTGTAGGATAACACAAGCACCTTAATAATAATAATAATAACAACAATAAGATTCATACTAATAAGTCTGAGGAGACCCCAAGGGCCATCTAGTCCAACCCCCTTCTGCCTTAATGCAGCAGAAGCACAATCAAAACACCCCTGACAGACAGCCAACCTTTCTCAATAATAATAATAATAATAATATTCATATTAATAAGAGTTGGAAGAGACCCCAAGGGCCATGTAGTCCAACCCCCTTCTGCCTTAATGCAGCAGAAGCACAATCAAAACACCCTTGACAGACAGCCAACCTTTCTTAATAATAATAATAATAATCATAATCAATAATATATAATCATATTAATAAGAGTTGGAAGAGACCCCAAGGGCCATGTAGTCCAACCCCCTTCTGCCTTAATGCAGCAGGAGCACAATCAAAACACCCCTGACAGACAGCCAACCTTTCTCAATAATAATAATAATAATAAGATTCATATTAATAAGAGTTGGAAGAGACCCCAAGGGCCATCTAGTCCAACCCCCTTCTGCCTTAATGCAGCAGAAGCACAATCAAAACACCCCCTGACAGTTTTTACGGTATATACAATGTATATACAATATATTATATTATTAGTAAAGCACAGGAGACAAGATGGAACTGTCGACTGCCCCTCTCTCTTCACTTATTATTATATATATTATGTTTACTTTATATCTTATATATAACAGTGCATATTATGTATATTTAATATATTCTTTTATTAATATGCATATATATATTTAATCATAATATAATATTATAATTATATATTTTATATTACATGTAATACAATCAAAACACCCCTGACAGACAGCCAACCTTTCTCAATAATAATAATAATAACAATAATAATATTCATACTAATAAGAGTTGGAAGAGATCCCAAGGGCCATCTAGTCCAGCCCCCTTTTGCCTCCATGCAGCAAATGCATAAAGCACCCAACAGACGGCCACCCAGCTTCAAAAATAACAGCAACATTAATAAAGGGGTTGGAAGAGATCCCAAGGGCCATCTGCTCCAACCCCCTTCTGTCTTTCCCTGCTCCCCCCTCCCCACCGCCTCCTTCCTCGGCAGCAGCAGCGACGACAGAGGAGAAGGGAGCCCCGGCGGCTTTGCTATCCTCCTCTCTCGGCCCCTGTGCAACCACGGGGGCAGTCGTGCGAGGAGGCAGAATAGCTGCACATGGGGTAAGAGAGGGAAAGGCGCGCACCTCTCCCCCTTCTCTTTCACCCCGTGCATGCCTTCCTTGGCAGCAATGGTAAAGGCGCTCACGGGGCGAAGAGGAGTGAAAGGTGCGCACCTTTCCCTCCCTCACACACCTTTCCTGCCTCCAGCACTGAGGAAGGCATCTGCGGGGCGAGGGAAGAGGAGGGAAAGGTGCACACCTGCGGAGGCCTGCACAGGCTAAAGTCTGCTTGCTGCTTACCCCAGTGCAGGTCTCCGCAGGTGTGCACCTTTCCCTCCACTTCCCTCACCCCGCAGATGCCTTCCTCGGCGCTGGAGGCAGCAGCAGGAGCAGCGCGGCGCAGGCCAGACGCTCCCTTGGCCCCAATTTGGCCCAGGAAGGAGGGACGCAGAGTGAGAAAGGCTGCCCTCCAGCCTCCTTCCTCACGCTGCCTCTTTCCTCACTGAGCCCAGCTGGGGCCCGACGGAGCGTCAGGCCTGCGCCACGCTGCTCCTGGAGGCTGAAGACAGAGGCTGGAAGCCTGGAAGTCAGGCAAGCAGGCCGCTGCGAGCGGAGGTTCTCATCCGCTGCCTCGGCTGCTTCGCCTCCAGTGTCGCTACCATTTGTCATCTGCTGTATCCGGGAGATTAGACGACCCCCAACTTTTCAAAGGATTTTAAAGGCTTAGAAAGTCGTCTAATAGCCCAGTTTTTACGGTATTTGTAGAGATTAATATTATTAATTATTATTATTACCTTTTAGTAAAGCACAGGAGACAAGATGGAACTGTCGACTGCCCCTCTCTCTTCACTTATTATTATATATATTATGTTTACTTTATATCTTATATATAACAGTGCATATTATGTATATTTAATATATTGTTTTATTAATATGCATATATATATTTAATCATAATATAATATTATAATTATATATTTTATATTACATGTAATATTACAAATAATATTACAATATTATGGTATAGTATAGTATAGTAATATATAATACTGATATTGTGCTATGCTAATAATATACTATATTGTATTATTGTATGTGCACTAATCTTATATAAATAAAAATGTAATGTTTGTTTGTGGGATTAACAGAACACAAAAAAACACTGGACTAATTGACACCAAATTTGGACACCAGACACCTAACAAACCAATGTATGTCCTTCACTCAAAAAAATTGATTTTGTCATTTGGGAGTTGTAGTTGCTGGGATTTATAGTTCAACTACAATCAAAGAGCATTCTGAGCATCCCACCGACAATAGAATTGAGCATCCCACCGAGAATAGAATTGGACCAAACTTGGCACACCGTTCTCCCATGACCAACAGAAAATACTGAAAGGGTTTAGAGGGCATTGACCTTGAGTTTTGGAGTTGTAGTTCACCTACATCCAGAGATCACTGTGCCCTCAAACAATGATGGATCTGGACCAAACTCTACACGAATACTCGATATGCCCAAATGTGAACACTGGTGGAGTTTGGGGAAAATAGAATCTTGACATTTGGGAGTTGTAGTTGCTGGGATTTGTAGTTCACCTACAATCACAGAGCATTCTGAACCCCACCAACGATAGAATTGGGCCAAACCCCACACAGAACCCCCATGTGGGCCACAGCAATGCGTGGCAGGGGACAGCTAGTAAATAAATAATAATAAAAGGGAATAGGATTGCTCTCACTCCCTTTGCCTTCTCTCTTTTCAGTTGGATTAAATGCCCACCTCGGAGGCAGCGACCCAGCCTTGTCCCGGAAGCAGCAGCCGATGGAGCTTTTGAGGAGCCGGGCGAAACAGCGGCAGATGGGGAGCATTTGGCTTAATGAACTCTTGCTGTGCGTGTTAGTGCATGCGTGGGCCAGCTAGGACCCTCCTTCCACGTGTTTTGGACTTCAACTGTCCAAAACACCTTGGCTGTTAGGAATTGTGGGAGTTGAAGTCGAAAACACCTGGAGGGAGGACATGCCCATGCCTGTGTTAATGTGTGCATAAAAAAGAAACACAAGATATGGTTTGTTTTAACATGGTTTAAAATGCAATAATTGGTTTGTTTAATTTGACACAAAGCAAGAATCCTACCAGGATGTGAGTGATATATTGTCACACTTCTGATTTTTGGAAAAAACCGTTCTCTATGTTCTTAAAAAAACCAGTTGTGCGCTAATGTATTTCATACAGGAAACAGATTCCATTGTAAAAGCTGAAAAAAAACACTTTAAAAATGGGCAAATGGAAATATTAAAACATCCATTGAGTTAATCATTGTGTTGTTTCAGAGTTATTCTGCCTTCAATGCAGACACCATTGCTATATCTCAAGTTATCCATTGTTTTTGTCCAGTGATGCAAGGTGTCTAGCAAAATTGATAAATGGAGGAGATACTTGCCTCTGTATTTCAGGATTCCAAGGCTTCATTAGACAACATGACGGCAAGATATTTGATATCATTTATATTATATTTCGTTTTGTTACCTAAAATGGTGATCATGCTTCACACTGATTATTTGGGAAGGCAGGTTGTCCTTTTGCAGAAGATCCCACCCACTCTGCAAGAAAATCAGCAAACAAATAAAAATGTTTTTGTCAAAGGTGTGGGTGATTCCAGTCCAGAGGGATGGTGGGTGTGAAGCTGGCCCTTCGTTGCCTTGCGTGCTTTTCTTGCTCAGTCCACATCGCCCAATGGCCACAGCTGCCAGTAGAATCATAGTTGGAAGAGACCTGGTGTGCCATCCAGTCCAACCCTATTCTGCCAAGAAGCAGGAAAATTGCATTCAAAGCAACCCTGACAGATGGCCATCCAGCCTCTGTTTCAAAGCCTCCACCACACTCTGGGGCAGAGAGTTCCGCTGCTGAACAGCTCTCCTTACAGTGAGGAAGATCTTCCTCCTGTTCAGGTAGAATCTCCCGTACTTTCCACCTGAACGTTAGGAAGAGGCCCACCAGGTCTCTTCCAACTCTAGGATCCTATGATTCTACTGGCAGCTGTGGCTTTTCAGCAGTAGAACTCTCTGCCCTGGACTGTGGCGGAGGCTCCTTCTTTGAGGCTGTTGGGCTGTAGACACCATCAGGAATGCTGTTCACTCCCACAACATCTGCAGTTCCATGACATTCCTATCCTTGACTTCTCAACGTTATGGTTTTTCCCTCCCTAAATATAATCAAAGTTGGAAGAAACTGCAAGGTCATCCAATCCAACCCCTTTCTTTCTGCCAGGCGAGAAGACATATTCAAAGCCACCCTGAGTCTCCTTCAGGCTGTTACGGGCGGGATAGAAATGACGTAAATAAATAAGCCTCCTTCCCATGATATGTCTTGTTTATGGAACAGCAGTTTAATATGTATTGTCGAAGGCTTTCATGGCCGGAATCAATGGGTTGTTGTAGGTTTTTTTTGGGCTATATGGCCATGTTCTAGAGGCATTCTCTCCTGACATTTCGCCTGCATCTATGGCAAGCATCCTCAGAGGTTGTGAGGTCTATTAGAACTAGGAGAATGGGTTTATATATATCTGTGGAATGACCAGGGTGGGAGAAAGAACTCTTGTCTGCTGGAGCTAGGTGGGAATGTTTCAACTGATCACCTTGATTAGCATTTGATGGCCTGGCAGTGCCTGCGGCAATCTTTTGTTGAGAGGTGGTTCACTGTCCCTGATTGTTTCCTCTGTTTTGCTGTTGTAATTTTAGAGTTTTTTTTTAATACAGGTAGCCAGATTTTGTTCATTTTCATGGTTTCCTCCTTTCTGTTGAGATTGTCCACATGCATGTTGTGGATTTCTTTGGCTACTACTGTCCACCTACAGAGCCTCGAATGCCCAAATCAGAGCAACTGTCCACTCACACATCTACCCGCCCATAAAGGGGGGTCCTTAAGGCGGTGCCTTCCTACCAACGTTAGATGTTCACAGCTACCTTGTTGCACAATATTTCTCTCCCCATGGCCTTATATCCACTTTCCTACCATTTAGGGATAAGAAGCATACTAACTGCATGGGAGTAAGAATGCAGAGCCCTATAACACATTCAATTACTGCATGGATGTAACAAATGGCTCTAGTTTTACATCTTAAAAACTGATGCACAAAAAAGATTTTAAGATTTGTTTTCCCACACATTGCAAACCCAGTGGAATTCACACCCAAAGGCAACAGAGATGATCACAAGATGAACAAAATATTATTTATTTCCCATGTAGATGTGAGCATGTACAGCCACAGATGTCCTCCTGGAGAAATTCCTCAGGCTCCGCACATCAAGCTGAGGCTCGGCTGTTGTCTCAGTAGACTGGCGTTTAATCCAACTGGAAAGAGAGAAATCATTAAAAATCAGACAATGTGATTTTCTGGATGAGTTTTCTCATGTTGTCTCTCATAGTTGAGGTCTACCTCATCTTTTTAAGTGGGAGAACTTGTGCAATTGGTATCTGACTAAATACCTTTTCCCCACTGTAAATATGGCAAATAATAGATACATGTTCTGTATAATACTAATATATAAAATAAACGTAGCAATAGTAAACATGATACTACTGCTAATTATCTCTTGTAAAATACAAAGTAAACACATCTAATGTTACATATTTATAATATATGAAATAAACAATAATATTAATATTTTAATAATATACTCTATATACATATATTTATAATATTATAATGTAATGCAATATACTACTAATAATATGATATTGTGATTATATATTTATATTACATGCAGTATTACTAATAATATTACAATATAATGGTATAATACAATATAGTAATATTTCATACTGATATTGTATTATGCTAATAATGTAATATATTGTATGTATTCATATTTTTCGGGGTGAGAAGGGCGGCATATAAATGTTGTAAATAAAAAATAATAATATAACAATTAATATAATAAAATAATACGATGTTTATTATTATATCGTTATTATCTATATAAATAAAAATGTAATGTTTGTTTGTGGGATTAACATAACTCAAAAGCCACTGGGTGAATTGACATGAAATTTGGACATAATACACCGAACAGTCCAATGACTGTCCATCACCCCTAAAACACACACATACACAACCCCAGTTGAACAAAATTTTAAAAACCCCAAATACATTATATATACATATACACTCATATACATATATACATGCACACATTCATACACACACGC